GTGAAATGCTATAAGGAGACAGCATTGTGTCCCCAACTCTCTGTCATGGTTGCATTCAGATCATATCCCAATTATTTGTTGTGGCTTATTGCTCAGAGGCAAAGCTTCAGCTTAATCTCTGTGGGAAGAAAAATTCTATACCACCCTTTGCCTTTCATGCCACTCACCAACCCCATCCATCCCTGACCTGCCAATAAAACAAAAAGAGCCTTTTCCACCAATTCTGATATCTAGGCTGAAATTGATTAAGCACATCTAGAAATTACACCCAAGGAAAACAGCCTCAATATATAAAAATTCAAGAAACAAAATGGGATTTGGAGAATTTACCTAGGTTATGTATCTATGCCTCATAACTCTATGCCTAATATCTAAAGCAAAGAGCAGAAATATCGGTGAGATGTCTATCTTGCTTCTCCTCTAGGAGCTTTAGAGCAGGGGTTACCAACCTTTCAGACCTCAGGGATCACTAAATGCATAATTTTAAATCTTGCAGACTACTAATATGATCTGCCTAATGACCGGCTGGGTGGGTATGGTTAATTGGTCATGTGACTGGGTGGGCAAGGCCAACTCGATGTCACTCACATCAAGGGGTACCTCACCAGCCTCTACTCGCCCCTCCCTCCCAGCCATTCCTTACCTCCCTGCCCAGGCTCCTTAGGGCCCCAACAGGAAGCAATTGTTGGAGCCACCATGAGAAAGAGTTGGCAAAACAGCTCAGTTCAAATTGGATCTGACCGAGAAAGAGGCTAGGTAGAAGCACCGCACTGAGGACTATGAGCATAGGCTTTCCAAGCAAAGGGAAGACTGGGAGTGCAAACCAGGTACCGGCACCTGCAGGTTCAGTGGGCTGAGGTGGTCAGCCAGTTCCTGGTCATGATGCTGCCCCACTTGAACAAGGTCCTGTAGCTCTTGGCCACCAGCGGCATTCCCTCCAGCCTTCACCCAAAGCCATGCACCAGAAGGCTGAAGCAGACCCCAAGTCGGAATTTCTGACCCCCTCTGACCCACACAAAAAGACCCCGAAGGGGGAGACTCTCTGCAGCAACACAAACATTCATTGCACATATCCATCCCAGGGGGCGTAGTTTGAGGACTCCTGATTTAGTGGAATATAAAAAATGTAAATTATTTTTCTGTGGTCCACCAAAATTTTCTTGCGGATCACCAGTGGTCCACGGACCACCAGTTGGTGACTGCTGCTTTAGATCAATGTTTCTCCTCCTCAACTTTCTGATATCCGAACATCAATTCTCAGAATTCTATTGGTTGGGAATTCTGGGAGTCGATGTTCAGACATTTTAAAGTTTCTGAGAATGAGGAAAATCTGCTTTATATGGCACACACAGGATGCTTTCTTTATTTTACCCTCATAGCAGTAATGCTGGGAGGGAAACAGGTGAGAAAGAAAATGATTGGCTGTAGTAAGTTTCCACAAGTGAGGATGAATTTGAACCTGGGTTGTCTCCCAGTTCAACACGGAATGTGGAATGATGCTGAAAATGATGATGTCACAATGGAATGATTTCCCTTGTTAGTAAAGGTAACAGAGGAAAAAGGAGAAATTCATGCAAAGAATAGCATCAATGGGAGTGAGCAAGTACATCTCCTCCTAATAGGGAGATCATAAAAAATTAGAAGGGGTCAGGTGGAAAGGAAGAGTGGGAACCCATTTCTAAGGTCAGATGAACATGAATATTCATCCTTTGAGTCACATTATGCTCCATGCTCCAGCAGACACTTATTTTTGGTAAGTTTTTTTCAATTAAATGAATAAATATGCAAGGAAGCTAGTGTGTTGCAAATCAGCGGTCTCAACCTTTATCTTGGAATTAAAAACAACAGGGAATGTACTTTGTGTCCATTGTTTGAAAGTATGTTCATCTGGTAAATGGAAGATTTCTAAGTAGCCATGCCAACCATGCTGGCTATTTTATAAAAATGATTATAGCACAGTAAGAGTCTATTGGGTCCACTGCCACCAAAAGGCAAGGATCTCTGATTTAAGGTTCAGCTTGAACTTTTAACAAACATCTAAAAACATTTGTCCTGGATATATGGCATGATAGGGGAAAGAGGGGCAACTCTCCGGGCCTTTTCCAATTAACTTTTCTTGGATGGATGTTCTTCAGAAAGACAAGAGAGTTGGAGACCTAGACAGTTCAGGTAGGAAAAAGCCCAAATCCTTGAAATTCTTTGCTTCCTAGCAAGAAATGTCACATGAAGCTCCAACCTCTCATGGTGGTGTGCCCAGAGTCCCCAGTTTTTCCCTCTCTTTTACATTCGAGTCAAATTTGATTCCTGGTTACTACTTAGACAAGTTCCTGCAGTTTTCTAGACAACAGTTTCGGAAGTAGTTCACTACTTGCTTCCTTCCTCCCAGGGTTAAGAAGGAGTGACTGGCCCAAGATCACACAGCTGGTTTTTGCATGCTTGACTGGGCACCAGAGCCCAGCTCTTAATCCATTCTCCTAACCACTGGACTAAACTGGGTCTCTAACTCAGTGTTTCCCAACCTTGGCAATCTGAAGATGTCCGGACTTCAACTCCCAGAATTCCCCAGCCAGCATTCGCTGGCTGGGGAATTCTGGGAGTT